TAGGGAAAAAAAACACTAAGATTACAATGAAAATAAACATCATATCATTTGTTTATAATATGTTGTTTGAATTTTTATATCACGATATGTAATATAGTGTTCTATGGTGTATATAAATTATTTCAAACACCAATTCGAAATAAGATTTTTCTATTTTGAACTTTTATATCAATAAAACTATAAACGATAGATATACATAAATTGCAGTAAATAAAATTTTTATAAAATTAAATTAAATAAATAACATATTTTATAAAATTTAAACTAAATAGTAGTAAAAAATATTTTTTACTATGTAAAATTTTCTAATCATGACTAGTAAAAAGATTTTTTTACTAAGTAAATTTTCCATTTATAACTTGTAAAAAGATTTTTTGTAACATAAATGTTTAATTTACTGTTATTTGTTTCAAATAGTTTTAAAATCTCCTGTTTATGTCAATTATTCACAATTATAATAGTAACAATAAAAATAATTATTAATAATAATACTCCAAAAAATATTTAAAAAATGCATGGATTGTTAGCATTGAAAAAAATAATCATTTTATATTTTCTTGTTAGTTAAATCATCTTACATATTCTATATTAGGGATAGGGTTTATATAATTGGGATACTACTACGAGAAAAAAAAAAAATTTGTTGACTGATGATTAAGAAAATCTTAAATGAGAATGTGAGATAATTATTGATATTTTTTTTTCTTTTTGTACTAATTATATTTATGTATTCCTTTAGATAAAGATCGGCGAGAGAACTTTTTTAATTAAAATTATATCAATTTAGAATGTAAATAAAATAAATATCTCAATGGATAATTGAATATCCATGTAACCCCCCACCAAGAAAACGAACACATATTCCGATCTGGGAGGTACGCACAGTAGGGGTGCACGATGGGCGGATTGGACGGTTACGGTGGTTTGTGAAAATTCTAAATCATAATTATTTAAAATTTAAACGGTTTGGGCATTTTTTAAGCGGGTGACTTGAGCGGCGTACTTCTTAATTTAATATTTATATTTATCTTTCTTATATGGCTTTTTATATTAAAGTTTTAAATTTCAAAGTACATGATATATATATATATAGCCAATAAAAACTAAATACTATTATTGGGGTGTTGGTATGGGATAATATGAGGAGTGAGAATGAGAATCTTTTAGATTCTTATATTTGGTATAATTATTAGATTTTTTTAAAATTCAAAAAAGTGAAATCCATTGGTTTCACATTACTATATTTTGAGGTAATCCTAAACTCATCTAGAAGAGTGTTATTCACTTTCTCATGAAAGTTAATACCATAGGAAAGTTAAAAAACACGATAAGCTCACCCATCTCTTCCAAACCAGCAGTTACTCTTCCGTTCAGCAATCTACCACTGCCCTTCAATCGACCACGCCTCCCCGCCGCCGCCCTTCCACCATGTCATTGCCGGACTTTCTTGTCGTCAATAAAACATAATGATTGATAAACTCATAAACATAATCTAGACTAAGTATGTCAAAAAAAACATTAAAAGTTCAAAATCATACCATAATTCAAAAATCAAAAGCACAATCCAACACATAAACCAAATTCCAACGTCCAAAAATCCAAATCCTAATAAAGAAACATCCAAACTCTTTTCAAGCACTACAAAAAAAATCCAACTTTAAGTTCATAGACATGTTGAAGCAATCCTACGCAAAAATAATAATAATAATAATAATTGAAGTCATAAAAAGGAGCGAGTAATAAAAATAAAAAATTTTAAAATATATTTATTATTAATATTGAGGCGGGCGGGACGGTTTCAAACTGCCGTCTCAAAGTCCAATTTGAAATTGCCCGCTAAAAAATGTGGATTGAAACCGTCCTGCCCACATGAAGAGCGATTTTGAAGTATTCCTGCCTAGAATGGTGCAGTGTGGTGCAGGCGGGTAGGCGGTTTGCGGATATTTTTATGCAGCCCTAACGCACACCCTAAAAAGTCAAGTGTACGTTAAAGCAACAAGCACTCCTATTGATTCCAATGAAGTTAAAACCCCACTGTTCAAATAAAGTGGGTCTTAATAGGTGAATAGGTATGACTAAACCTAACGAGACTCACCATTTTGTGAGTGATGGTTTTATTTACACTTGAATAAATATCATTTTCCTAAAGCAACATGCAAACTAGCTCACTCAAAAATGGAAAAAGAAAAGAAAATTTTTTAGCCATCTTTTTTTTTAGATAACGACCTTAGTTTTTAACTTAAAAATGGATAGTAAAAAATATTTTTTTTTTAAAAAAGAAAAAACTTAAAATTGGATAGTAAATTTTTCCCCAAAAAATAAAGATAGTAAATCTACCTTAAAAAAAGGAAATTAAGAAACTTTGGTTAATGTTAGTTAGATAAAAATGAAAAAAAAATCAAAAAACAAATATCTAACCCTCGGCTTACGCATCCAAATTCAATTATTTGTTAGAACTGTATCCACAAAATCTAAAGACTTTTTTTTTTTAAATTTACATTTTAGTAGAATATGATTTTTTTTTTTTTTTTGAATAACAAGCTGAATCCATTGTGCCGCAGCTAAAATAATGTGAACTACGATGAGCAATCTTTTTTGATCCAATGTAATTCTGAATTCTGATTTTGTTGTTTTATTAGGTCTCATTTATTTTATCAATTTAAATTTTCAATTTTAAATTTTTATAGTTAAAAATTTTTAAAAAATGTCACAATTTTTTACTATCATTAAAAACTTTAAAAGAATGTTTGGTTCATAAATTTAAAATAATTCTTAATTTACATGTATTTTTATAAAAAAAATTTATAATAAATTATGAATTATAATTCAAATCATAACACCTATTATAAAAAATTACAACTCAATTTAAATTAAAAACTCAAATTTAAAGATAGTCAAACGTCAAAAACCAATTTCTCTTGTTTTCTCATTCCTGTTGGTGTTGGTTGCTTGTGGAGATTAACTATTATGCATTGGGACCCACTAATAATCCCTTTAATTAAATTTAATTTTATTGAAATTCAACTTTCCATTTAATCCTATATCCTAAAAGATTTCCATTTAATGTAATTCCTATATTCTCTCTATTATAAATATCTCCCAAAGTCGCTTCTTTTTTCCTCCTCCTTTATTCATCATATTTTTCCATCTCCCGTTTCTCTCGTTTAACACTCTCTCTCTTTCAACTTTCTCTCTCTAAAAGTCCCCTCCTTCAATGGCTGCCAATGGCGTTCCCTCCACAGGCAAGGGCCAGATCGTGAGCTTCGGAGAGATGCTGATCGACTTCGTCCCCACCGTCTCCGGCGTGTCGCTGGCGGAGGCTCCCGGGTTCCTCAAGGCCCCCGGCGGCGCCCCTGCCAACGTTGCGATCGCCGTCGCGAGGCTCGGCGGGAAGGCTGCCTTCGTCGGAAAGCTCGGCGACGACGAATTCGGCCACATGCTGGCCGGAATCCTCAAGGAGAACGGCGTCTCCGCCGACGGAATCAACTTCGACAAGGGAGCTCGCACCGCCCTCGCCTTCGTCACCCTCCGCGCCGACGGCGAGCGCGAGTTCATGTTCTACCGTAACCCTAGCGCCGACATGCTCCTCGAACCCGAAGAGCTCAACCTCGAGCTCATCAAATCGGTACGATCTTTCTCTACTATCTCTCGATAAATAGTTTCCTTTTTTGTTGCTTCAAAAAAGAAAAAGTTTCCTTCTTTTGCTGTACTTTTTCTCGCTGTGTTTTCCGTGAAATTTCTCGTCGTCACCATGCGATCACGTGGTGAAAAGTGGTTCCTTTTTTCATTAATAGATTAAAATCATAATATTAAAATTATTTTTTTTATTTATGTGTATATATTTTTTTAAAAATATCATAATAAATTATGAATTATGATTTAAATTAGAATATGAATATCTTAACTAAATAATCCCTTAATCTGATTGGGCAGATCTACGAAAATTAAGTCAAAAAATCATGTTTTTAAATTTTGGATCTTTTATATATTTGTGATGATTTTATTTTTGGCTTTGGCCGTTGGGTTTTTCTCGTAGCTCTTCTCTCATCTCTGACCGTGTTGCGTTGATCCACACGCTCGTGCGAGCGTGTGGGACTGTGCGTGTCTTGATAAACTGTGCTTTGGAGTCTGAACTGTGGCGTTTTCTCGATCTGACACCACTTTTGATTAATTTTCTTTTTTCTTGACTAAGAAGGCCCACGCGCTTTTCCGTTGTATACTCTCGCGAGTGGCTTTCGGCGGAGTTTGGTAGTGGTCGGCTTATGGATGCTTTATTTTCTTTTCATTAATCATTTATTGCGCTATTTTTTGCTCAAAAATTTATCGTGTTATTTTGATGTTTGATTAGTCTTCTCGATTGTATATGTCGTTTTGTTTTCAGTTTTTTTTTTTTTTTTTTATATATGTATTCGTTTATCTATTTATTTATTTTAAATTTTTTGAATGAATTATTAATTTAATTTTAATTTAATATAAGAATTTGTGTCATGATTTGAATCATGATTCGTGGCTCGTTATGATGTTTTATTTTATAAAAAATACACGTAAATCATGAATGAATTATTAATTTAATTTTAATTTAATATAAGAATTTGTGTCATGGTTTGAATCATGATTCGTGACTCGTTATGATGTTTTATTTTATAAAAAATACACATAAATTGAAAATAATTTTAAATTATAATTCTAAATGAGTGAAGTAATGTCCACTTATTATGTCAAAATCTTAAAACGCATGTATTTGTCCGTGTGCAGTGTGTCTCAACCCTTATCTATAGTCTCCAGGAGTCAAATGCCATGACAAAAATTATGCAAAATGTCCATCTTCTCAACAAGAAAATAATTAATTAATATTTTTTTATAAAAAAATCTTTTTTCAAGAGATAATTTTATAGAAAACTATAAGCATCCAAGCAATGATATTTAATATTTTGTTTGTGGGGGCATGAAAGTAAGCATTATGCAAGTTGACATTTAATAAATATCGATTAGGTGACTCAGAATCCACGCTCTCCATCATCGTCAATCACGTGCAGTTCATTCATAATCCATTAATAAATCTTATACTATGCCCCCAAATATATCATTTTTGACTTTTTCCTTTGCTCATTAAGAATGTCACTCGCTCCGGTTCAATGCGGACCGGCCTGTGTTTCGTTAAATCTGATGCCATTTTTGTATGTTCCCTTTAGCCCGTCAGATCCCTGATATTTTCTTCCTGAAGTGGGGACAAAAACAGTTGATTTTCTTAAAAAAGAAAATTTGTTACCTAATTAATTTGATATAATCTAAAAATATAATAACACTTGGATTAAATAGATTATGAATTGTGATCTCAGGGCTTAAGATGTTTGATCTAATGGCATCAGGGCTTGGTGGGGTTTTGAAGGAGGTTGCGAGTTTAATTATGTTTTGTATTTAGGATCTGTTTAGTTTGTTAATTTGAGTTGAGATGTGATGTTATATGAGAATTTTTTATTATATTAAAAAAGTTAGATATAATTATTTGTAAGAATTTTTTATTGTAATAAAATTTAAATTTTAAACTCGAATCAAAGAAATTAACGGAACCTTAATAAAAAAAGAAAAAATTATGATCTCATGTGTATTTTTCATGTTTAGGCCAAGGTGTTCCACTACGGATCCATAAGCTTGATCGTGGAGCCATGCAGATCGGCGCACATTAAGGCGATGGAGGTGGCGAAGGAAGCTGGAGCTCTCCTCTCATATGACCCAAACCTCCGACTTCCGCTTTGGCCCTCACCTAAGGAGGCGCGTGAGCAGATTCTCAGCATATGGGACAAGGCTGAGGTGATCAAGGTTAGTGACGTTGAGCTGGAGTTCCTCACCGGCAGCGACAAGATCGACGATGAATCCGCATTGTCGCTCTGGCACCCAAATCTCAAGCTCCTCCTCGTCACCCTCGGCGAGCACGGCTGCAGATACTACACCAAGGTAAGCACTAGGAGCAGTTAGTATTAAAGCTATAACCATTTAAACTTTTAAAATGAATTGATAAATTAACGTAGTATTAGAATGGGAGATCTTGAATTTAAACTCATTGTAATTGCACTTTTTATTTATATTTAAATTGTCATTATGTGTTAAGTCTTTAATATATCTTAAATTTAAATATTCACGTATTAAATTTTTTAATTACTTTATTCACATAATTATCTATTATTCAGTTTACACGTGAGGGTAACCGTTTAAATTTTTATAATGAATTAATAAATTAATAACTCATTCGTTTTATGAATTTAAATTGGCATATAACATTTTATAAAAAATTTTAACTATAGTGAAAAATTTGACATTTTTAAATTATGAAATGAAGGAGGCATTAATAGTGTCTTTGTCTTTATTTGTTGAGAAGAATCTCCGGCGACTGTTGTTGCCTGTTGTTGAGCAGTTTCTTTCTGACTTTTAGCTGATCAGGTAAACTAAAAATTAATTGGGTTGGTGGGTTTGAGGGGGGTTTTAAGAAAAGGTGGGTGAATACTGCTGACAACTCTGGGCTGTCAAACAGCGCTTGCCGACAATGGAGGTTGAGAAGTGTAGGGCCCCGTTTATGATATTTAGGCGTTCTGCTATTGTTTTAACTTTTGGTGTGGGGTTGATCATTACAAGTAGGTACAATAAAAGCCTAAAGGGTTTTCTTTAAAAATATAAAAAATATAAAAACAAAAAATATATATGGGATCGACCGTCGTGCTTGGATTTTGATTTTGCAACTTGGGGTCAATTGAACTATATGTATAATAGAGTTTCTTTAAACAATTCTACTTTTGTCTTGTATGTAACGCTTAGCTTATAATAATAGAGGGTTATTCAAAAGAAGTTTAACCTGTTTAATTCACTGATTTGAGTTAAGATATATTTTTATGTAAAAATTTTTTACTGTAATAAGAAAGTTAGATGTGACTATTTTTAAGAATTTTTTATTTAATAAAATTTAAATCGGTGAAATAAACAGGGAGATAATTAGTTTAGTCCTTATAAGTATGTGCAAAACCTCAACATAATGCTATTAGACAAAACATCATTGATAAAAGATTGAAACATTTGTGTAATAAACCGTGCTTAACGCACTTTGTTTTTTTACAGGATTTCCATGGGTCAGTTGAGGCATTTCATGTCAACACAGTCGATACCACTGGTGCTGGTGATGCATTTATTGGTGCACTGTTGTCCAAGATTGTTGATGACCAGTCTATTATTGAGGTATGTATATTTCCTACTTCATAACAATCTCTGCTATATATATATTAAAGGACTCGTTCGCTTCGCAGATTCAAGTTTTTAATTCGAGTTGAGATGTGACATTTTTTTAGAGTTTTTAACTATAGCATAAAAAATTAGATGTGACATTTTCTGAGAGCTTTTAACTGTAAAAACTTAAAATTAAAAATTCGAATCGGTGAAATGAATGAAGTCTAAAAGTAATTATAATCTCTACTACATCGAAAATAACCCAAGTATCTACTAAACACATATATGGTAAAAAAAAAGATATTTTTTAAAAGTGTACAAGTTAAGATTTTTATCATTTACTCTATTAATAATTGTTTTAGCTGTGTAACTATATTAGCAAATGGTATTAACTAAGAATGAGGAATAAAAATCGAGATTCATTCATTCTTAAGGGTAAATTTTGTAAGTTTTTTTAAAATAAAATTGTAGTTATCCATCGTTCAGTGTTAATGTTTTCTAAATTTACTTATTGGTGATGAATTTCAGGATGAGGCAAGGTTGAGGGCGGTTCTGAAATTTGCAAATGCATGTGGAGCCATCACAACCACCAAGAAGGGAGCAATCCCGGCTCTTCCCACTGAGACGGAAGTACTCAGCCTCGTCAACAAAGGTGTATAAAGTGGGGAGAGGATTTTCCCTTAGTTTTGCTTTGTTTTGTTTCTCTTTCCTAACTTTTTTTCTCTTTGGTACTTGGTCATTTCTTTTGATTTCTTGCTTTCTTAAGAGCTGCTTGCAATTTGAGGAAAGAAAGATTATTCCAACTTCTCTTGCTCTTTTTCATTTTTTCTCTTTTAGTTTCCTTCTTTCTCACTTCTTTCTGGATGTAATAATGAAAAGACCATGTGCCCTCCAAGGGCGTTTGAATAAATTCTTTTAATATTTTTATTTGTTGGGTAAAAGGTTCACCATGCCTGCAATCATTAATGTTTCTTCCCTCAAAGGGGGGAATTGGCCATCTTTAGTGAATTAACGTTTTACAAGTAAGATGTAATTATAGATGTTGAAATATATCCACGAGGCTATAAGTTACAACTTTATACACCTATCAAAAAATAATACAACCAGAAAAAAATTGGAGGAAAAGTTTGCTTCTAAGTTCTAGCTATAACCACCAGGGTGTTAGTTCTAGCATTGCTCTCAAGTTTTAATAATAATATTGTTGCCAAACATTTCTAGGAAATGTTCGAGATTGTCTGCATTAATCGTATGGTTAACTAGGCTTAGTTTTATTATAGTCCTTCAAATACTTGTTAGGGGTGTTCATCGAACAACCGAACCGTCAGTTTTAATTTTCTCCATCGACAACCGAAACCAACCGCAGAGAGAAGGAAACCAAAATTGACCAAAACAAAATTAATCGGTTTCAGTTTGGTTTAACCGCCGTTTTATAAAACATTTAAGGGTGAAAGAGGGAAATATGCCCATTTAAGAATGGAGTAAAACTTGATACGCCTAAATTTGAAAAGAGTTAGTAAATAGATCAACTTAGTGTAAATCCTCAATTAAAAATCCGAAAATACTCCTAAATTAAAATGAAAATTCTGACTTCAAATAACTAAAAATTATTCCGTAAAAAAAGTCCAAATTCTTTCCTGATTATCTCTCTCTCTCTCTATTGCCGTCGACTGCAAATCGACTCTTACGCATACGTTTGCGAGATCCGTCGCCCTCTTGGCTCCAGCAATCTCTCCTCCATGCAGCTTTGCGAGCAACGAAGCTCGCCATCTCCTATGTGTAGGGGTGGCAATTCGGGTTGGCGGGTCGTGTTCGTGTCGTATTGACCCCTTCAGTTGACACGAATACGACCCGTTTATTAATCGTGTCGAAATACAAAACCCCAACACGACCCGTTTATTGGCGGGTTGACACGACACGACACGAATAACCCGTTTATTAAACAGGTCATAAACGTGTCGTGTCAACCCATTGATTACCTGTCAACCCGTTTATAAAATGGGTGATAAACCTATTTATGAACCTATTTTTGAACATGTTTATAAAATAGGTGATAAATGGGTCGTGTTAACCTATTTCTGAACCTATTTTTTAACATGTTTATAAAATGGGTAATAAACGGGTTGTGTATTCGTGTTACCCAAATATGACACGTTTAATAAACGGGTTATGACGGGTCAATTACAGGTTGGCGGGTCAACCTGAAAATGACACGTTATTTAATCGTGTTTCACGGGTTCGACCTGATTTTGACCCGTACCTATTTATGATAAACCCAAACCCGCTAATTTCGTGCGGGTTTCTAGTCGTGTTGTCGTGTCGCTACCCGGATTATCAGCCCTACCTATGTGCAATTGGCTTCGCGATCTCCGGTGGCTTCGCGAGACTAGATCTCCAGCGGACTAGAGAGAGAGAGACGTCGACGAGCCGTTTCCAATCTACAATCCTGATTCCGTAGGGAGGAGAGAGATAGGCGAAGAAAGAGAGGGGAGGAACGTCGAATTTGGTACTCATTCGGCTGTGGCTTTCACATTAACGCGTGTGAGAAATGTGTCATAAAGTATAGTATATAAAAAAATTTAACACAATAAATAATATTGCATTAGAAAGTATTTTTTACACTCAAATATTAAATTTACAATTAACAAATTAATTATAGCATTACATTGAACATATAAGAAAAAAATAAAAACGTCATAAGGGAAAAGGGAAAGGAGAGGCAGAGAGCGAAAGGTAATTTAAGAAATATGAGTAAAAAGATAAAATGAATCCTTTTAAAACTAAATATGACCAATTAATTTATAATAAACAGGTTATTTACTTTCTCCTGTTAAAAAAACAGCCCTATTTACTACAATTTCTCAACATTTAAACTTTTTTTTTTTTCTGAATTCTTATAACTCAGAAAAGAAAGAAAAAAAAAAGCCTCATAGAAGCCCATCAAAAGAGGCTCATCTCAGGCTTAAAATTGAAGTGTAAAAAGCTAATCAACTAATGCTGGCCTTTTACAGAGGGGAGGGAGGCTGAAACTCCAAACATTTGTTGTTTTTGAGTTTTGAAAAAGCTGAAAATTTAATAAATATAAACGGCTAACATAAAAGACACAAGAAGAGCATGTAGACCAGTGGTTTTGCACGCCATTAAATGTAGAAGGTCGGTTTTGGTCAGTTGGGTTAGAAATTATCGGTTTTTTCGGTTAGCTTTTTTTTTTAAATGTAGAAGGTCAGTTTGGTTCGGTTCGGTTGAAACCCAACCAGCCAAACTCCGTACCAAAGCCGAATTGACCAGCCACGGTTTTGTTCGATTTGATAAAAATTGCTCAGTTTCTGTCGATTTAGTTTGAAAATTATCAATTTTTTTAATTAGCTCAATTTTTTTAAACACCCCTAATACTTTTTTTTGTTCAACTTAACATCCCTATTTGTTAAAAACCCCTGCTGATTTATCTGCAAGGGGTCATCATCACAAGGATTGGTCACTGGAATTCATAGTTCTTCCACAAGCTAAAGAGACACAATTTCCAATTTGGTGCCGTATTGTTGCAACAAAGCATTTCTAAATGGCTTTTTTTCACGTACACCCTCTCAACTTTTTAAATTTGGCAATTTGATCCTCATTTTTTTCTTTAACCCCTTTACCTTTTAAATCTTTACAATTAAGGTCCAATAAAAAACCTGACGCGCACGTGAGTATTTGTTGAGAATAATAAAAGTCATTTCTCACCCTATTTATTTGGTTACATTGATTTCAGTCATTAAATGTATCCGAACACAATCAACTATGATAAACATTTCTTGATTTTTAAGGGTTATTGCCCTCCACAGATGTTTTAAGGGTGAGAAATAACCTTTATTGTCCTCGACATACGCTCATATGCACGTCCTTATGATCAAAATCGTCAAAAAAGTGGACACCGTTTTCGATTGGATCTTAATTACAAAAATTTTGAAGTTGAAGCAGTAAATTCCTTAAGGAAAAAAAAGAACTAAATTGCCAAATCTAAAAAGTTGTGGGGGAGTCCCTACAAAAAAGCCTTTCTAAATATGTTTGTAATAAATAATTAAAGACAGCTTAAAGTAGAACCAATTCTTTTGCAAACAAAGGAAGAATGACCTGCCTCAAATTCATTACAGAACATAAAATTATCATTTCTCCACATACACAATCAAGACACTCAAATATTATTGTTTATAGTTATTTTTGTCTCAGATTTGTTCATTAAGTAATAATAAGGTCTCGTCTATTCTCTAAAAAGCTCCACAGACCAGGTCTCCAATTGAGAATATCTATTATTTGTAAGTGTTAATAACTTCCACAGTACCATATCACTTGAGCTGAGAATAGGGGAATATCATTACAAAACAATGGCTTGTGGATAACACTCACTGACATCCATCCGCAAAGACCTCCAAGTTTGCTTGCACCTTTCCCACTTCATCTGCATATGAGCCAAATACGATTTTGCCCATTCTTCATCTCTCCCACCCATGCTTAAATCGAAGGGCACCGAGAAACTATTCAACCATTCGAAGAAACGCGAAAGCAAGTTAACACGCAGCTAATAAACGCATTGTAGTGTAGTAGTGAAGATTGGGATAGAATTAAATACGGGGTTGCATTATGGATTTCTCAAACTAAAAGCTTTACCGTTTTTTCGATTTTAGATTTGTTTGAGGGGCTGGGATGTTATTTTGCAAATGAGCAGTGCTCTATGTTACTGTATAAGTAGGCCCGTGGATTTCTTCCAACATTTTCATGCTTTTATTTGCTGGACTCCTTATTCCCTTTTTGTACATTTTTTAATTGCTAATTTATAATAGCTTCTCGTTTCTGAAATATATATATATATATATATATGCATATCCACTCATTTCATAAGCATATGATCGACTCTTAGCAAATTATTTATGCTGAAAAGCAAAATCTTATTAGCGTTTCCTTTCAAATAGTCCTTTCTAATCACATTGGATATTTAGCAAAGAAGCAATAAGCTTCGAAAGATAAAGATACATCCAGAAAGGAGTATTTTACCTCAACAGTTCCTCCGCCTGAGATCCTTTACTGGATGAACAATTCCTGCAAGTGTTGCAGATGAATAAGACAGCATCAAGAACTTTGTCATAGGCAATCTTCCTCGTATAGCAGCAAGCATATAAACATTACTCCTTAATCGTTAACAAATAATTTCTCTCTTTGGGAAGTTTTGTTGGCAATTTAATTATTTTAAGCATCATTTTTCTAAATAACAAACAATAGGAGCAATATTTCCTAAATACACCTTAGGCCATACAGAGGAAGTATTACTGATGTAATGATCTACTAGCACATACTTATCTTTAGCATTTCATTTTAAACTTGAGATTATATTTATCTCTTGGGAGTTGGGATTCTTTAGAATTTAGTTAAGTTCATCTTTGTGTTAGTTTTACTTTTATAAATTACCGTAGTGATTGTAATTTCAATAGAGTTTATGATTGATGAATGACTATTGAGATTCTGGTTTCCTTACTCTTTAGTTAATTGTTCTTCTCTTGGATTCTCTGTTTCCTCTTCTATGGTTCTATTGCTATCTCTCCAGTTGTTCTATTTCTCTTCCCAGTTCTCTCTTCTTTCTTGATTCTATCTCTTCTAACTTGGTACTACGCCTGTTTGGAACGTGGGTTCAAACTAGGTGGTTTGAACTAGAATTCAAATTTTGTGAGAGAAAACACTGTAGCCGAACTTTTTAAATTCAAATTTTTTGTGAGAGAAAATACTGTTTGAACCAAAACCAGCATGGTTTAAACCTCCAACCAAACAAGCATGTAACATCATTTACACCCCCACTTCTCAAGTGAAAAATGAAATAATCATTCAAATGTATTTACAGCATATGTTAGAACAAGAAATTAGTAAAAGCACAACCTGCAAATTGATATTCTGAAAATATGAAGAGGCTTGGTCGAGAGATTAAAAATTGCATCAGAGATATGGTCCTTTCCAAAGGCGTATACTACAGGATAACCAAGAAGCCATCTGCAACATATGAAATAGTGTCATAATCTTTAGGCAAGGTTGTGCTATATTAGAAGCAATGTAGGGCAAATAAATTTTGTTTCATTTAACTAAAGTAAAAACGCAAATCTGTCAAAAGAAAAAAGAACCAATGCGTTAATAGCAGAGTAACAAGGAAACTATTTTAAATTATCAGCTGAGTGATGACTTAATGATTCTTCTGGCAATTGCCATTAAAAGTTAATTGGAAACTCTAACTACCTGAATAGTTTTGAACTTTATACGTGTAACAGTGTGGAGATCTTGTCAGCTTCTATATATTTGTGTGCATATACTGCTTTTTCTTGAAAGCAAACCGACTTAATTGCCATGTTAACACGGTATCAGTTTATAACACAAAATTATAACTTCACTGTCCTGATTGCTTTCTGTCAATTCAATCATTCTACTGTCTTCAATTAGAATTATGAGATCTTTCTCAATTTTTTTATGAGATCCTTTTCAATTAATGATGAGTTTCCATCACCTGAATTGGTTGGTTGCACAGGGGGAAAAAAAAAGAAACACCCTTGTTTAGTTTAGATATCGGGTAGTGGGATCTTCATTGTCATGGTTTGGCTGCTGGAGAACAGAACACGCTTGCATTCCAGAAATACTTACTCTCGTAAAAGAGTAGAAAACAAGTACTTCTACCATATTGGCTTTTTAGATTCTTTCTGTTTATTTAATAGATCTTTCACTTGAGTAGAATTGTTATGGGTTTTCTTTTGTCTGTTTTTTTTTTAATGTATCTTCATTAAACTGGCTTATGTGTGTTTCTATTGAGTGATGTTGAAGGTAATGTTTTCAAAACATTGAATCAAAATAGTTTACACAAGGTACCTATTTATCTCTTTTCTTTCTCCCTATCTCAACTTTTCCAGTGCCAACAAGTTCAAGGTAACTACATCAAAATTAATAATTTATTATAGATTTCTCATTTTCAAAGAAAGGCGCGGTCCCTTAGGCCTTTCCAAGAGACATCCCTTGCTGTATTTCTTTTTGGGGATCGTCAAGAAACACCCCTAGGAACAACCAGGAAAATATTGGAGAAACTATGCTGAAATGTGACACATTCAATTTCAGTTCAACATAAATATTCCTTTTTCTATTAGCAATGGAGAGTAGCTGCTCAAAGATTATATGCTTTCTACAAGTATGCTTTTATTGTGTGTTTTCATTTGTGATAATTAAGTATGCATGCATCACAAAAAATAAAGAATGGCATAATAATCCTAGCAATAATGCATCCACACATTAAAGTCGTCAAGAAGGATATACCCATTTAAAGTTGGCACGGTAACTTCAGTATCTTGCAAGCAGCTACTGAGATCAATAAACTCAGAAGATTGTGAAGTCGTACCGTCATTGTCAGGGGATTTGGCATTAGCCATGCTATTTTTCCCGTCACTTGACGAAAAACCATTTTCCGTTCCTTCCACGGGAAATAATGAAGAGAACAGCTTTAGAATTGATAAAAGTTGCAGCCCTAATGGGGTTTTCTCTGGCTGTGTTATCATCTGGAACAAAATGAAACGAGAACCTTCATCAAAGGGGAAAAATGAGCATGTCCATTGGCAAAATTATAGAAATAATTGTCCGCAGGAAGACCTTCGGGGGATCCTGTTCAAGGTCCACAAAGAGAAGTTGAGAATCTGAGCTCAAGCTTGACTGAACATGCGCTGCAAATCCTCTTACATGTACTAAATAGATCATATCTTCTATGATCATTATTCTTAAATGCTCAAAAATGCATAATTCCTGCACTTTTCACGACATCAATAGTTTGCAGTTGCACAGTTAGTTCATAATTGAAGAAAACTTGACAAGATAGTTATACCACACGATAAAGACATCATGTATTTTACGCGATACAGATTGCACCAAGGTAGTAAGCCATATCAACGGTAAACTTTAACTGCAAAAATACCCTATGGAAATTTGACCAGGAAAATTAAAGAAATCGTATACAAGTGACAAATGACACTAAATTTTGTGACTTGTAAAGGCTGTGTATTTGCTCTGGTTAATCATGTACAGGCAGTACAAACTACAAAGTTAGCATAAGCTTTACACATGATATCGATTTGACAGAAAATAAAGTGGCAACAGGTGTAAAAGGTTTTTCAGCTAATTAAATATCAAAGAAGATACCATTTGAATGGAATTCAGAAGCGCACAAAGTCGTTCTTGTAGCTCAGGCATCTTTCCCCCATAGTCTACCATAACAACTGGTCTCATTCCTGTGCATAACGCAAGAACATCTGCCCAAATATAATTCTTCATGTTAATAATTTAGTATACACAAAATAAATAAATAAGTAAGACTATTTAATCAAGTAGGGGTTGAAACATCACACTCTCATATCAACGCACGTTTAGATTACAGGGAAATATTCTTTTACTTTACATCATTTTCTTGATTTCAAATTCCCTTGGCATTTTATAATTTTTCATCTGAGTTTTTCGTTGTTTGTTGAAATAACATCAGTTTTTTCTTCTTTTTGTGTTCCGAAACATGAGAAGTTTTTCATTGTTCACAAATAGCTTATTAATAACAACAAACATGATGAAAGACTCGATAATTTTGGCAACTTTTTTTTTTTTTTTGGAAAGAATTAGATTAACACTGTTACATGTAACAATAGATCAGAACTCAATTGAAGGGCTCTATAACCTACAGCGTGTTTTCTTCTCAATATCATATCTTTATTTTTAGTCAAACCAGTTATATTTCCAAGTTCCTTCCATCCTCTTAAAATTTTGAAGGGCAAAAAAAAAAAAAAAAAACTGTAATAACAATGCACATTAAGACGCCATATACGATGAATTATGAAGACAAATAACCTTTTTTAAAGTATACATTTAGTGAATATCCTTAGTGGTGTTAAATTATTCTTGAAATTTGATAAATTAGACGTACATAGGTAAAAAAATAAACTAATCAATTATTTACCAATATCAATCAATAATTTATCAAAAATCAATCAATGATTTACTGGATGACATTCATTTAATTCATATATTTGTTATCTATCGATTCTCTAACTTAATTTCAGTCAAACTAATCAATCACTCAATTCCTTTTTCTTTTTTTTTTTGATAGGAATCACTCAATTCCATTTTGGGTTCAAAATATAAATTTTAATTGTTCATAGTTAGATGAGAACTATGCCAGTTAGCTCAGTTTTTCTTAACAGGATGATGACATTCACCAAATCCAAGAGTATGATTTAATTAATGGTCATTTTTGCACATATTAACATACCCAGACGCATAACCGAACCTCAAATTCGAAGACAACATTCTAACTCTGTTTTTCTTTTTTGATACCCAGAAATCCCCCGAACCCATAATTTTTTTTTTTTTTTTTTTTTTTTTTTTTTACTTAGGAGGAGCAAATTAAAACTGAAATATGAAAAATTACGAAGAACATGAAAATGTCAGAACACTCAAAAGAGACTCTTAATCAACACACACACGCACAGATACATATAGAGATAGAGAGAGAGAAACCTATCTGGAGTCGACGTCTTGCTGAAGCTTTGAGACGCCATTTGATTTGGGAAAGTGAAGAATCCAACACCTTGAGGACCTCATCCAACTCTGCGACTTCCGGTGAGAATTCTTTTTCTTTTCGTTGCCCATTCTCCATTAATACCGGAATGTAATGCCCTTGGAAGCAAATAACCTATTTCAAATTTTCAATGATATTTCTAAGTAGCTTAAACAAATTCAGGCCTCCTCTATCGAACTTTTCCTACTACGGCGAAAGCTCTTAAAAATATATCTCGTTCATTACACCGATTTGAATTTTTAATTTTAAATTTTTACAATAAAATTTTTTAAAAAATATCACATCTAATATTTTTTACTACAGTAAAACACTCTAAAAAAATATCACATCTCAACTTAAATTGAAAACTCAAATCCGCGAAGGGAACAAGTTTCAGTTTAATTTTATATGATAGTTTTTTACTATATCAAAAAAATTAGATGTAACTCTGAGAGTTTTCTACTGTAATAAAACTCAAATTCTAAATCCGAATCGGTTAAATGAACGGGACCTTAAATTATTTCTTTTTTAGAATAATGACTAGAATTTTAATTAAAATATTTGGATTTTTTTTCTTAGAGGTGTTTGCATTCAATTTGGATAGTTTTTTTTTTAATAACCAACCAAATTAAAAATAAAATTTTCTTTTGGACCCTTTGGGTGGTTTGAATTTTTAACAATAATTAAATTGAACTAAATCACTCATAAACAGTTTAAGCGGTTCGGTTTGGACAGTTTAAGTTTAAAACTAAAAAATTTTTAATAATTCATAAAAGTTATAAAATCGTTAATCAATAAAAATAAAAATAAAATTTTAGTTTACAATATAATTAAAAAATAACAAATGTCTAACTGTTCATCATTTAAAGTTATAATACAAACTAACAAAAATATGATATGGTGTATTTTATAAGTGTATATCCTTTATTATGACCAACAAAATTAAAATAAATATAAAAACATTTTAAAATTAAAAAATTATATATGTATATTTTTAAGTGGATGATTAGACAGTTTGAGGAGTCCAACCCACAAACCAAGCAGCCTAAAAAATTAGATCAAAAAACATACCAAACCCCCTAATAATCTAAAAATAATTAACGATTTTGTTTGGTTTAGGCGGTTTGACTGATTTTTTGAACACCCCTAGAATAAAGGTTGAAATTGTGTTTGGATTTTGTATTAAAACTATGAGTTTGAAGATGAGTGAAAGCAGCTCAATTGGTTGTAAGCCTCTCCATCCGTTGAGAGTTCGAGCCACCTTGATTCCCACTTAAAAGTAGTGGCATTCTCCCCTCCTTTGGTATATATAAAAAAAATAAAAAATAAAAAGACATATATCCTTAGAGTGTATGGATATTGTCATTTCTTCTTTATTAATATTATTTTTAGTCAAATAACCATATTAATAAAATAAAAAAAAGTGTAGATCCTAACTCATGCACTTTAAGAATAAGTTCAACAATTTTCTCTTACTAAATGGGTTTTTGGATAGGCAAACCCAAAATTTATGTTTAATTATTTATTAAATAAAATGCTCATGTAATGTTTATTATATCAAAAGTTATCTCAAACAGCTTATTCTTCTCTCCATTGGGTGAGGGTTTGGTCTTATCTTTGGGTTATTTAGGACCGGAATTCGATGTCGCTAATTGGTTGGTCGTCAGATTTCCGGCCAAAGAATGGGAAATTCAGGTTTCCTTGGTGGATGTGGGTGTTTGAGTTGGTTTCGTGGCTATTAAAGTTGGGATTTGGTGATACAAAGGGAGGTGGATGTTGAATGTCCGGTACGTTGATACTTCAACAATCACGCTTTCTCGATGTCTCAAGTCCCTCGTTTTGGCAGATCTGAGGGTGGGGAGCATGGGTAGAGTTATGCTCGGCAGCAAATTGTTAGTTTTAAAAATGATTTTCTACACGGAAGCGTGTACCTAGCGGCTCATGTATAATAAAAATTTTAATAAACTTTTAAGATACTCTATAAAATACATTGATTTATACACGAATAAATTTATCAAATTAATTTATTAATAAATTTACCTAGCGAACGATTAGGTCGATAACTTGTGTTCTTTGACCACAAACGTTTCTTGCTCCAAGCTTGTTTAGAATACCCGAATTTTTCTCGTCAATTCCTTGAATCTACGAAGACGTGTGTGTGGGCACACCTGAAACAAAATGAGATTAGCACTCAAACACTCAAGTTTTCCATGATCACCAACACATGCACGACATGAAATTTGGGAGAAAATTTTCCTTTTCCTCACTCTATAAAACCGGCCACTATATCCTAGGGAAAGCAAAAATGTGTTCTTCAATTTTTTACAATCTCCTATTTATATAGTAGTTGTCATACTCCCAAAAGAAGTCTAAATTTTATCTCCAAGATTAAACTTGATAATTATCTCTCACTTCTATTTTATTTTGGAGATAAAATCCCTTCTCTCTCTTATCCATAAGGGCCGGCCACAACAGAGATATTCACCCCTGTGGTTGGTGCAAATTATAGATAGGGAAGGAGAAAAAATTCTCCTTTATTCTACAGTCCAATTTTGACACAAATTGAAATTCCAATTAAAGTCAAACTTAATTTAATTTGAATTCTAATTGGAAAATTTATCAAATAAGTCAATTGGATAACTTAGAGGATAAGCAACTGAATCCGGATTCCCATAGTGCTGGGCGTGTACACCATGTTGACTTTTCCACACGTGTGTTCCAAAATTTAAATTTAAATAATTACATTTTTTAGTTTATAATTAATTCTCAATTAATTATTCTTGAGCGTTCTATTTAGAATTTCATAATTTTAAAATTCTTATTTTGTCCTTAGTGACTTGTAGGAGTATAAGGACAACGCGGGGACTCATGGACCTATAATTCTAAGCTCCAATAAAATTAATAATTAATTAAAACTCTTTAATTAATTAATTAATTAATTCTATTAATTTCAAAAGTTACTCCACTATAAACTTGAAATTGCACTCTCATAATTATAGATATAATTTACTTATAAACTGTGAAGTGTCCATTTAATATAGCCATTATATATAGATCAATCATCCATAAATAATTCATAATTTGAGTTAGAAGAAATCCGTTAATCTTTCTAATTACATATTTATCCTTGAGTACCATTGATTTTCTAATGGACAGTGATTCATAAAACAAATTCAGGAATTGAAGCTCCTACTAGTCCAAGTACTGAATCAATCTTTAAGAGAATTATTTATCTAATTCTTTCTCAAGAAGGAATGGATTCCATATCGTATATTAACATTCTCAGCTACCTACTTCATCATATCTCTAAAATACAAGAAATACGATTCAACATCTTAGAATCTGTACTGAGTAAATCAAAAGAGACAAATTCATAAACATGAGTATGCTAATAACTCAGAATTAAGATCGTTCTATATATGACCATCGATAGACTCAATTAGAATTTCTATACTTAACGGAAATTATCAGGAATTCATATTGTGTTTGTGTCTTAGTTCCATATAATCTCATTATGCGTAATCACTCATTCAATATCTCACTATATTAACAGTACAGATAACATCATTTCATTCTAAATGAAAATGACATATATTAGTAATATTTTAATTAAAGATTTTAAATTTTAATTAAATTCATTAAAAAATTATTTTAATTATTATCCTTAAATATTATCCTCTCGTATATAACGTTTAAAAAAATAATATGTGAAGCTGTTATTTTAAATGAAACGCGCGTGTTAAAGACTAATTTAAGGAAAAAAAAAAAACTGATCTTCAATTCTTTCTCTCTCTGTATTTTTTTTAAAGGAGTACGACATATTTTGTTTTTAATTGTGCCCATTTGTGTTACGTGGAGCAGGTGGATTGGCTTGGTGATGGATGCAAGAAAGGAGAAAAAAGAATATAAAACACTGGAAGGAAAAACTTTTTTTTAATGAAAAAGAGGGAAATTTTTACGGAGTATTTTACTTCACCAAGGCAAATGTTTTTAATTTTTTAGTTAGTTTTTTAATAATTAAATATATATATATATGTATTAAAAATTTATAACACATCACTTAAAATTATTTTTTTAAATCTAATTATTAAAAAATTAATTTAATTAAAAAAAACTTGCTTTACCGATGAAGTAAAATATTACCCAAAAAAAAAAAAAGAAAAAGGAAATTTCTAAGAAAAGCGCTGTTGTCATCACGTGCTATCCACGTGACTCAGACTTGTAGTTCATAGTTTGCTTCTTCTCGAATCTCGCCTTCTCTTTTTATTTTGTCTGGGTTTCACACTCCGTCTCTTTGCCGACGAGTAAACTATTGGTATCAGAGAATCGCCCCTCCGCCGGAATCCTCGCCGGAGTCAGATCTCTTCGCCGGGAAACGAGTCGGAATCTCTGTTCTCTGAGAAAACGCTACGACAGTTTCCAGATCCTTCGATTTCTCTCTTTCTCTCTAGGTATAAATTGTGTTTTTTCTCGTATCTAGACGTGTATTTGGATTTCCCTTTCTTTTCTCCGGTGATTGCTTCGGATTTGAAGATCCGTATAAGGTTACAACGAATTAGGTTAACTGAAGATTTGCGATTTCTCATTTTGTGAGCGTTAATTGCGTGGTTTTCTCTCTCAGATTGATAATTGATGGAGCTACATTAGTCATGTAGGTTGGGAAAGAAGATAGATTCATGTCGATTGAGATGGATTTCTCTCTCTGTTTTTTTTTCTCTGTTGTATCTTACGAATCATCAAACCCGTTTAGAGAGTCGTAGATTGTAGGACTTCTAATTATCTGTCTTTATTTCTATTTGGAAAAATTGCAGGTAATCTGTGGGTGGGATTTTGACGTCGTTGACATTTCTATTTCTATGGAATACACATTTCTATTTGAAGAAAGGAACGAAAAAGTTTGATTTGAGTGTTATTGAAGTAGTTTAGGTTTCTATGGACAGAGAATAGATGAAATAGTTTATGACTATCGAATAGAATGGCGATTGATTTTAAGTGCCGATATTGTATTGAGTAAATATTGTCGTCACAGAATGGAATTGTTGACTGTTTAAATTAAGGAGCTTCGGTAACCATTCTTTTTTCTTTTCCTCATTATCATCTATTCTTCCAGTTGTTGCTGCTGGTGCCAGCGCTTGCAGTAGTAGTTTTCACATAAGTTTCTACTAAATACATGAGATTATCATCGATGAAAATATATGGAGTTTGATTTTCTTGAGAAAATAAATTGACCCTCGTTCTATGATAAAATAAGGGACACTTGTTGGTAAAGAAATGGGATTGGTGAGCTCGGTCTTGTTTTCACCCCTTTCCTTTTCCCCACTTGAATAAGCATTCTGACTCTATTCTGTTTCTTGTTTTTAGTTAGAAAAATGTATAATAATGTGGGAGCCCAGCCTGGGGTACCAAGACCACCAGCAATCTCTCAGCCTAATCCATTCGGGGATACATTTTATGGAGCTGGTTCAGGACTTATCCGTGGTGGCTTGGGTGCATATGGGGAGAAAATTTTAGGATCAAGCTCTGAGTATGTGCAAAGCAATGTAAGTAACATGTCAAGGTGGTTGTTGTTGTTGTATTTTATTTATTTTTTATATAATAAAAAAGAACTATAGTTTTATTTTTTTAACCATCAAAGAAACAACATAAAAAACAGATGAAATGTTGAATAAGCAGAATCCTGATACCTGCAATCACTTGTTACTGCATGTAAATTACGTTTTCTTAGTGGTATGTAAATTACGTTTTCTGCAATCGTATACTGGCTGTGACTTTTATGCAATAAACAGATAAGCAGGTATTTCTCCGATCCTCAATACTACTTCCAAGTGAATGATCAATATGTTAGGAACAAATTGAAGGTTGTCCTGTTCCCATTCCTGCACAGGGTGAGTTAAAATCTTTCCCAATCCTTCCCCTGCTCGACTCTATTTTTCATTTATTTATTTTTATTTTTTATTAAGAAAATTCCCTTTGTCTTGATAACGAAATCAAGTAAGAAGGAAAGAGGACAAAGTATCCTCAGAAGGCAGGAATAAAAGGGAGAAATAAAAACTTTTTAGAAAATATATCATAATAACTACTCTTTCTCTTTGCTTTATTTCCTTTCGTTCTCTAGGGTCATTGGACGAGAATAACAGAGCCAGTGGGAGGCAGGCTCTCCTATAAACCCCCAATTTATGACATAAATGCGCCAGATTTATACATTCCATTTATGGCATTTGGAACCTACGTAGTTCTTGCTGGCTTCTCACTGGGTCTGCAGGGAAAGTAAGTATTATCGAGTTTAAAGATATTACTTTTAATACTTTGCAATTATAATCACTGTTTTTTAGCCCTTGATTTTAGCTTTTATAAAACGACTATTTTTTCTGCTTACTCTCCCATTGCAAGGAAGTTCTATTACTAGAATCTGCGTCTCTCTCCATATTTGCACACAAATTCTTTTGAAACTTTTTCTAAGTTTCCTATCAAAACACATTCAGCTTTTATGTTTCAATCGCTTTGCAGTTGATAAATAATTTCTGTTTTATATTTCTAATTGCTGTTTGCTAAATTTGGTTTTATGTATGGATGTTGCAATGACAATTACAAGAGTCTATTGCCCCATTCTTTTTGCGGTTCGAGTGGAAACTTAAAACTAAAGTTCAAATTTTTGTGAGAGATAACACTGTAGCAAAAAGGTTGAATTGTGATTCGAACATGGAAAAGAACGGGGCCTATATTGTGTTGCTTGTTTTTAAGGTAAATAATAATGATGATGATGATGATGATGATGATAGTGGTAGTATTTATAGTAGTGATAACAATAATAATAGAAATTTTATTAGAAGAAAAGTAAAGTTCCAACTTTGACGACAAGAAGTTCTCGAAGAGAAAACAAAAAAGTAAAGTTGTTTCTCTAAGAGAAGCAGCCTTTCTCTACTTGGATGTAGTATTAGATAGTAGATGCAACGTGGTACTAGTGCATTGTCTCAGCAGGGAAAGATATTCCATTACAGTGTTCTCCAGCACTGCATCTTGATTGCTTTTAGATTATTTATTTTTCTGTTATTTTATCTGACATAATCCACTTATCGGTCCTGAGCATTTTGCGATTCTCTTAGACTGTGCTGCTTCATAAATCGCTTCTTGGTTGTGGCCAGGTTTAGTCCAGAAGCTCTAAACTGGTTGTTCATCAAGGGATTGCTCGGTTGGTTTCTACAAGTGTCGCTGCTTAAACTAACACTGCTCTCGTTGGGGAGTGGCGAGGCACCCTTGCTCGACATTGTGGCGTATGGTGGGTACTGTTTCACAGGGTTGTGCGTGGCAATCCTGGGGCGAATTTTGTTTGGCTACTCTTACTACTTTTTGATGCCTTGGACCTGTTTATGCATGGGAATTTTCTTGGTGAAGACTATGAAGAGAGTCCTCTTTGCTGAGGTGAGGAGTTACGATTCGAGCCGGCACCATTATCTCTTGCTGTTTATAGCTTTGGCTCAGTTCCCACTTTTTACATGGCTTGGCATAACAAGTGTTAATTGGTTTATATAGGGATGATGATTTCATTTTGTACTTGGAAAAAAAAAAAAAAAAATTATGTGGGTTCATAGTAGTTTCTCAAGTGTTATAGGAATTTCTCTTTTTCGTGGTGACAATTTTATGCTCCCCCATTTAACAATTATGGAGAGTATTGACATAAGATTCAGATCTTCTGTTTAATTTTTAGGTTTCATTCATTTTACCGATTCGAGTTTTACTACAGTAAAAAATTTTAAAAAACAGTCACATCTAACTTTGTGTGTTTTAAGCTCTCACATAACGTCACATCTTAATTCGAATTAACGAACTAAACGGATTTTTAATGTTCTTAGTTCAATCCATTGCTAAGGTAAAAAGGAAGGCATTTTTTCTTTTGGGGGAAATTAATTAAATAATAGTAAAAATTACATTACATGCTCTGTTTTTGTGTGTTTTAAGAACATCTATATATTGTATTTATGATAGTTGTGTTGAAATATAATAATTTTTTCTTGAAAAGTATTTTACAAAATAAGAAAAGTATGTGATAACTATTATTACGATTTTCAAGTTTTATACTGCAAAATCACATAATAATTATTTTAATGATTTTAATTTGTGGTATTCATAAATGTCTTTTTTTTTTTGGTTATATTTCAAGCTTATATTATGCTTTGTCTTATTTTCCTTTGCATTTTGTTTTGTTTTGTTTCTTTGTTTTTTTTTTAATTGTTTTTTATCAGTACTCCTCCCATTTGTCCTGGAAACCCGAGAAGAAAAGAGGAAACAGAGGATGTGCAATCTTAGGCCCGTTTAATTTGTTGATTCGAGTTTTTAATTCGAGTTGAGATGTCTTTATATGAGACCTTTTTATTATGTCAAAAAAGCTAGATGTGACTGTTTCTGAGAGTTTTTTACTGTAGCAAAACTCGAATTCTAAATTCAAATCGGTGAAAAAAATGAGGCCTAAAAATACTTTTGGGATTGATTTTAGAACAAATCTTTTTAATTCGAGTTGAGATATGACTTTATGTGAAATCTTTTTATTATATAAAAAAAGTTAGATATGATTATTTCTGAAAACTTTTTACTGTAGTAAAACTTAAATTTTAAAGTTGAATCGGTGAAAATAACTAAGCCTAAAAATACTTTTGGGATTGATTTTAGAACAAATCCTTTTGTGCGAATAAAGCCCAGTTTGGGATTGATTTTAGAATCCCTAAAAACACTTTTGTACAAAAATCGATGCAAACATAATATGTTATAAAAGTGTAGCAAAAAAAAAAAAAAAAAAAAAAAAAAT